AGGTTTTGATGTTACAACTGTTGTTTCAGGGCTTGTTGTTGTGACACTCGCCACTGAGGTTGTAGTTTCAACAATAGCCGTGGTAGAGGTTGTAACTGGGCCAGTGGTGACTTTTGGTGATGTTGTTGTCCCAGTGCTTCCTGTAGTTTTTTCTAATGTCGTCGTTTCTGAAAGTTTGGCTGTGGATCCCAATGTGGTTCTTGATTGTGATGTAGTAACTGTGGTAAAATCAGACATTTTGTGAACAGTGTAAAATTTGTAAATTTGAAAGAAATCCATACACATTTCTTTCTCACATTCTCAAGTACCTTTAATTTTTGTTATAAATTATTAAAGTGCTTTTTTATCAGTTATCAAAAATCTGAAAGCAAGAATACTTTTTTTTTTCATATATTTTGTTACCTGAAGTTGTCTTTTCAACCGTGCTGAATGTAAAGGGAGTAGTTGTAGGGCCAGCTGTGGTGGAAGAAATGCACAGGTACATGCTCCTGGTTACGGTCCCATTGGCCCCACATTTAGCTGTGATGCAGTTCCCCAGGCCATCCGTTGTGTTGTAGATGGTTTCCCCATATTTGTAGGTTTTTCCATTAATATAGCATGAGCAAGCTGCAGATCAAGAGGATCACATTTTCAATTCTTCAAAAAGTCTGTGTGTGTATATGTGTGTGTTTGTGTGTTTATACACATAAACAAATAATTTGCTATAAAAAGTCAGTGTGTACATATACTTACAGTTCACATCGTAGCTGCACGATATTCCAGAGACAGTACAGGAGCTTTGAAATAAAAGTAAAAGGTAGTCATATCTTTGACCTTCAGCATTATTTGAGCAACCAGAATTATATTTCATGATGTAAAGCAAATCTTACTCAGAGGTAGGGAATGTTTGATTTTCATTAGCATTCAATTGACAGAGCAATATGTCTGTAGAGGAGCTGATCAGAAAACAGTGAGGACTATAAGGGGACTCTAATACAAAACTCTCGTTACACATAGACTCCAAATGTACTGAAAGCTGAAGATGAGGCAACTGTCCCAACAACTTTAAAACGTTGCATCTGATCATTTACATCACACGGTACCCTTGCTCTTCTTCTTTCTCTCCTCTGTTCACCAAGAACACTCATGCACCCTTTGCTGTCACTAACTTCCACTTGTGGAATGGTTATAGTTCTTTTTTCCCTCTTCCTGTTCATATTACCAACAGACTGTACCCTAAATTCCCTTATCCAGGTATTTAGATTACAAAACACCCCTCCTCTCTTCTGGAGTCCAACTCTTAACCCCTAATATATAAATGAAAAAGCTAAATTCAGTCTGGAAGACACTACCTATATCTCCCTATTCGGAAGAGTGAACCTCAATTAAGATCTTCCTGCCTTAATTATTCTATCTAATTTAAAAAAAAGAATGTTTTCAAAACCGTTTTTCTTTAGGGATTAGACTCAATTATGACTTATTACAAGGCTAAAAAAACAAGTTAAAAATATCTTTACAAATCCAAATTTAAAGGAGGCATAACTCCTCCAAATGTTGTCCTATACAACTGGGCCTCTGCTGTTAAGTCCTTTGCTTTCTGGCTAGACACCTCGATCTTGCCACCTAACTGGTTAAAAATAGAACAGGAATCAAATATAGATAAAACATGGAGAGACTCAGGGATGGGTATTGTCAAAGATGTTGCTGAGGATATGTTGCTGGTACAGGTGCATTTTTTCCTGATACTTGCAAATTATAGATTACAAACATAAGTATATAATAGGATTTGAGGTTGAAAGACAATAAACATTCAACACTTGTTTAACAACGTCACAATATAAATACAATTACATCTCCTACCCCGATAACAAATAAAGTGTTTTTGTTTGGAATATGTATAATAAGCATATCATTTAGTTATCACTACTGAGAATTTAACAACCATAAAAAAAGAAGAAAAAAACATGACGTAGATAGGTTTGCAGTTTTCAAGGTGTATATTTCAAATTGCATCTCTTACACACATGAAAATAAAGTTATGAACACCGGCTGAATATCTATGACCAGAATCATTATAACTGTGTTATAACTGCTACTGTGTAAAGGGAATACTGCTGCTAACAATAACCTGATTTGTTTAAAGTGTTTGCAAAGCAAATGTTATTGCACTTTTGTTCATATAGCAGTACTTTTAAAATAAAAGTGGGCAATACACTTCTGAATTCATTATTGAATTTTGTGCATAACAATGCGATTAATCGCGATTAAAAATTGTAATCTTGGCCCAGCACTACAAATAACCTAATCTTTTTGGACTGTGGAAGGAAGCCAAAGAACTTGGCAGAAAGCCCACACTGACAGGGGGAGAACATGCAAACTCCACACAGGGCCCATGTCTGGCTGCTCATGTCCTTGTTGAAATGAGACAATGGCCTCTGGCACATGCATTTGCAATTGGTCTGTCAATATGCCCTATGCTGAACGTAAGGATGTAATCATTCATGAATTTTCTGTTTGAGACATACCAAGTGTAGCAGTTGTCCGATGGAACCTTGTTTCCGATGCTGTAATGGGTGCCTTTGCCATCATAGCAGCCACATTGGTTCCAGGCAATGCACTTCATGCTGTCTTCATCAAAGTAGGGCTGGGTTGGAGGACACTGTGGATAGCAGCCTGCAACACCATTTTAACAAATAGATTAACCTCAGCAGAAATACAAATAGAGCTAAATGCTTTTACCCAAAGCACTTGACAATTTGCCACCCATTCAAGCATGCATACACAATCACACACTCACAAACTGATGGGTCACTGATTGACCCTGTGATCAGTACAACTCCTCTTCCTCCTGAGCCACAGACACCCATTCAAATCAAAGACTTTGTTGGATTTCAGAGACACAGCTCCTATTCTTAGGATGCAATGTTTAGTTTGGAGTAGTAATTGTTAAGTGTAATTGTCCTCCACAGCACATTTGTATGCAGACTAACAGTCAATGGACTGCATTCATGTAGTGCTTTTTTAGTCTTAGCAACCACTCAAAGCGCTTCACAACACAAGCCAGCATTCACCCATTCAAACATCCATTCATACACAGTAGTGTTGCAGTTCTCGTGACGAGTCTCCAGACTCATTTTTAAAGGTCTCTGTCTCGTCTCGTCTTTCTTGGTCTCTGGATTTTATTTATTATTAAGACCAGTCAAGACAACAACTGCAGGGATATTATGAAGATATCTTCATTGGTTTTCTGTGGGTGTTTATATGGGAATGTGGATCTTTCAGATCAAATTGAGGAGTGCCTGTGGTCACTCACACTGGTCTGGTCTTGACTCGGTCTCAACCCCTAAAAATCTTGGTCTTGGTCTTGTCTCTATCTCAAAACAGTCTGGTCCTGGTCATGACTTGGTCTTGGTTTAGATGGTCTTGACTACAACAGTGATACTTGCTGCTGCCATACAAGGTGCTACTTGCTCAACAGGAGGGATGCCCACTCCCACACACTGATGGCACAGCCATCCGGAGACATATTTTATTGTTATTATTATTATTATTATGATTATTATTATAATAATATTATTTTTTTCCTGTTTTCCTCATGAGTTAGCTGCATATTGTACATGTTGGTGATTATTTTAAATGATTTAAAATCAGGGATTACCATCACTTACATTTACTTTGATCATTGGCTTTAAGGGGAAACTCCTGACACAGAAATAAGTCACTTAAATGCTTATTCTCACAACTGCAAGACAGATTCATGAAGCTGCAAAACAAACTAACCCAAAGGAATGAAAGGTTAGCATATTATCCCTGACATGTTGGTCTAAATCACAAAACAATTGTAATAATAATAATAGCCATCAAATCAGTCTGTTGACCTGAGTTGAACTCTATGACAGAAACCTATATTCAAGAAGATGACATGTTAAAAGATCTGTCCAATGTACCTTCCAGGGCAGTGATGAGGCTGGAACAGTTTCCTGATGGATTCCTACATGTCTTCATGCAGTCAACTCCACAAGGCTTGTAGTGCCATTCACATTCACCAGGGTTGTTATAATAGTCGCAGAAAATAGCTGCAAGAGACAAAATAAGTATGTCTTAGCTGTTGATAATAAAGTCAGGGTATCCAACACATTTTTATCTTTTGGCTAAAGATACAATTTCTTACAAATTATAACTCCTGTAGCTCAGAATTTCTTTGTGAGATTGTGACCAAACTTACGGCACAGCTTTGGAGTTCTCCATTTAACACAGGCCCCAGCTTCATTACAAGCTTTGGCATAGGTAGCCACAGCAGTACAGAGACACTCACAGTCCCCACCGGTGTCACAAGCACAAGAGTCTCTCACGCAAGAGTCATAGTATGGACCAGGGTCAACCTTGAACACACAATCATGTACTGTTTACTAGAAAAATAAAGGTTAAGGGAAACAAACATGTTCTAGTAGTAGTATCAACTGTGGCATTGTAATCACACAGGCTGTATTATTGGTGCTGATATAAATATTACAGGCTGATAAGCAGTTTTTAAGATATCTTGCTTTAGACCATTGTTTTGATTAAAGGGATGGATGGACAGACCAACTGATCAACACAAAAAGCAATGAGCACTTAGTGCTCAATTCTGTTCATTTCATTTCACATACCATGGCAGTTAAAGTGACAATGTTTGTGTATGGGCATACATTTGTGCTGAGTATGATGCTATCACCATAGTTACCTGTGAATGACAGCTCTGGAAGGTGACACTGGTGATGATGCTACACTGTTTCTGGGACCAGGCTGCCCGGTAGCGGTTCGAGGAACAGGGATCAGTGAGCAGTTCGGCATTTGGGCAGCTGGATGAAACCTTCCAACTGTTGCCAAATTCCAGAACGTCTGTCACTGTCTCCTGAGAGCGTGTGGTGAATTCATTCTTACTGTTGCCGTCGTAGTTTCCACACAGACCACAGACTTGACCCTAAGAGGGAGGAACCCAATGGCAGAGTTTACTGATATGATAGGGCTGATACAGAGTAAGGCTGTTTGTTGCCACTGAAAGATCCTTCAGCCCTCAAGCCCCAGAGAAACATCAAAACAACCACAATCATAGTTCAGACTAAATGACCAGGCACATATAAGTCTAGTATTCACTCTCCTAGCTCTGTTTGGTCTGTGCCAGCTCCTGAGGGAAACATCCTGTTCTGAAGCTAGATGCAAACCGCTTGCACTAACTCTCTCTGGGTTGATGAGAGCAGTGCCAAAGCAATCAGCTACAAGAGGCTCAAAAGCGCAGTCGGGTTGCTGATGCTTGAGTTGGCTGATAATTCTTTGTGAGTTAAGCACTATGAGCAACACCTTTTACATTACAGTTATTTTACTCAATGTTCATCAACGTGTGAATCAAATATTGATTAATGCAAGTTTCTGTATGGAACAAAATGTCCTGATGTGTCTGTGAAGATGCTCACGGTGTATCATGACAAAGAGCAACAATGAATGAAGCGCCCTAACCAATATGATTTGTGCAAAAGCCAGTTGGCTTTTGCACAAATCATATCATTGAAATCATTGAAATCATGACATCATGAAATCATGTCAGTCAAGACATGCAGACATGATTGTTTACCTGGAACTGCGGAGCAAGTTTAATGAAAAGACTGGTTCTCTGGTCCCACATGAGCACAAGACCCGGCTTGATCATCACCACCAGGTAAATACCCATCTTAAGTATCTGAGCAGGGAGCACCTGGCCACTGCCCTTTACCATTTGGAAGGTCCCATCTTTAAGTTGGTATTCATTATCCTGTGGGCATCAACATCAAGTAAACAAGTATTACTGCACCAGCTAAGGTAACAGGTAATCAGTTACTCAGTAAATCATGTCGAGGTTTCTTTCTCTAGTTATCACCTGAAGAGTTGCATGCTATTCTGTGAAAAGGAACTTGGTTCCCAAATAAATGGAAAGCAATTGCATCATTCTTTTCCAAGGAACAGATACAATTTGACTGCAGGTCAAAAGAAAAGCCACATTTTATTGTCATTGGAGGGGAATGTTTGCACAGGCTGCATGCGTCCAGGATATAAAGTGTGGGCATCAGCATCATAGCATTACCGCGGGATGAAATTCTATCATCTTTAGTTTTAAAGTGAGCTTTATGCCTCCAACTATGTTGGAAAATAAAGTTAAATATCAGTATAGTTTCAATCTATGTTGCTTGTTCACCCACTTGATAATTCATTTTAATGCTGACTTATCAAAGGCATTATAAGGCTTATCAATCATAAAAGAATGGTTGGTCCCAGTCTTAATAATCCTTGCCAAACCTCAACATTTATATTAGTCTGACATTCTGATCTATTGTTTGGGGCAGAACATGTGCACAGTGTACTTGTGTTGTATTTACCCCCAGGAAGATCTGGATGGTCTTGGAGCATGTAGCTCCTGTGGTCCCACATGGAACATTCTCAGTGATAATCCTGAAGCTTCCATTGCTCTGACTGGTGCCACAGTAGTCCTGAGTAAGGAATAGACACAAATAGAGACAAATCAAACCCCATTACCACTTACTGCTCTGCAATTTTCCTTCAATAGTCATTCAATGTATTTACATTCAGTAAATATCTCTCTAAATAGTCGTTTTTATTGGTGGTGGTGGGCTCCACTGTTCCCGTGCTGGATTCAGATTGCCTACCGAAGCCTAAGGGGCAATTTTATCTCCCTGATATCCGCCTTACTGTTTACTGTTCATTGTTCTTCAGCTGTATTAGAGCTGGATTAAGTTACTGCTAATTTCCTGCTGCTGCTGCTTATTTTGTGTTCAACAGACTGGGTATAGCTTTTATTATGGAGCAGCCACAGGAAATGCAATGTATGTGTCACCATGATCACTCACCCAAAATGTTTCTCCAAAACAAGACAAGGGTCACTTCTGATATCTTTTTGTCAGTGGATGATTTTAAATCTTTGCAGAGGAGTAAGGGAACAAGACAGAGCAGCCACAGTCAGCTGTTGTATGAAGAGCTGCAGAAGACAGGCTGCACACCTCCAACTCCTCAGCAAGGTATGCAACTTTAAGTGTCCTGCTGTCGTGTGAAAAGCTACTCAAGCTGTGTGCAGCATGGAATCAAATAATGGTTGTCCATGTTGTGATCGCAGAAAGCAGATTTTTACTGTAAACAGATACATAAGCGACTCCTCTCTTGTTTTTCTGACAACATAGCTGCAAAAAAGCCCCACATTTTCTGTTCCCATTGAAACCAAAGGAAAGGAAACACTTTAAGGATTATAATCTTATTCCTTACCTGAAGGAGTGTGTATTCACAGTCTCCGCTGAAGTCAAACCTCTTATCATCAAATGTGATGTAGTGACCATCGCCATAGATCCCACAAACTGCATTACACACATTGGTGGTACATGTGAACTTCCTTCCACTGCAGTAGCTGAGGAGACACACAACAGACACAAACTTTCAATCTTGTGTTGATTAGGGTTAGGGTTACACAAACCAATACTGTATTGGTATGTGTGTGTGTGTGTGTGTGTGTGTGTGTGTGTGTGTGTGTGTGTGTGCAAAGCGCTGTACAAACCAGGTGTTGCAGTCCACAGTCAGTGTCTCCCCCGGCTGATATGCGTTTCCATTGTGCAGACACGGACAGCTGGTCTCGTTGATACAGCCTCCTGCTCCATCTGACACCAGGCCATCAGGGCACATGCAGCCACATATACAGCCTGTACTGATCTGAACCCACCAAAGTGGAGGGTGAAAACAGATTGTGAAACCCAACAGCACCTATGCATGTATGTGTATTTTCTCATTTTACCTATATTTTACCAAGAAGTCCCATGAGATAAAGATCTCTTTCATAACAGAGACCTGGCCAAGTGAGCAGCCATACAAAATCACAACACAATATGAAATACAACATGAATAAAACAAAACAGCTGTTTTACACAGAAGCCTCTCAATAGAAACAACCACATGCCTCTATCAGCACATTCTTTATGATGCCCTTGAATTCATCAATGGTTATGAATCTTTCTCATTATAAATCTTTTTGGAAATTATTCGATGCCCAAGGTGCATAGTATGAAAATGTTTTCCCCGGATTTGTCAGAACACATAATGAATTAAAAGGCAAGATCTTGGAGGAGCGAGGCTGGTAACTACTTGAGCTAAAACAGAGAACGTAAACTGGACGTTAATCTAGTATCATTTTATAAATTAAAATACGCCAATACTGTCGTCTGCAAGTGGTCACTGATGTCCAACCCACCAAATCATAAAGAATGCAATGGGTGAGTATGGGACTTTGTGTTTGTAATGAAAGGCAGAGATGCATGGCACACTGAATCTAAACTCATTCTTAGGAGGCTGCATGCATACACAATATGTCACCGTTTTCAATCACAGACCAAAATGTAGCTTCCACAAGTTATTTCTTGGCATTGAAAAAAAAGAAAATATATTTCTAAAATAAAAGCAAATCCTTACTTTATGATAATAAAAGCTTGTCGATCCATATAGCCAAGTAATTATAAGAGGGGCACCCTTTCAATAATACTATCGGATGTGACAATGCTAAAATCATCAAGCGGGTAGAGAGCTTTTGAGAAGACCAATTGAAACCAATTTTAAAGTGAAATGCAGCCTGAAGCTCGTCCTGCACTATGGAGGGAGCATGCGTATAAATGACATCAGCATAAACGTGTATGTTTTGCTTGAATGTCCTTACCCAGATGTGTGTGTGTGTGTGTGTGTGTGTGTGTGTGTGTGTGTGTGTGCTATGCTGTACTTACACAAGCCATGTCCAGAGTGCTGCAGCTCTTCTGACACTCAGTCCCAGTGGTCCCAGGTTGAACAGTGGAGCAGTCAAAGTAAACCATGGGGGAACGGCATGATGGTGACGCTGGGTAATAAATAACAAATTCAGGATAAAGAGTATGAGTGAATATCTCATTTGCATAATTCCATCCACCATTCCCTGTATTTTGGCAGGAACAATTTTCTCTTTCAGCACAAAAGCATTCAAACCACTTGTTTTTTAGAATTACAGGGATTTGAGTTTGTCCATATGTGGAAACCTACATTGTAGCTGTGTTGCTCCGGAGCAGCGGAGAGCTCCTTGTCGGCAGACACTGTGAGAACAGTAAGTACGATTTATTTATAAAGCGCTTTTTACAGACACAAGTCACAAAGTGCTTAACAGGGCAGAATTACAAACATAAAAAACACAATGTGACCATACGGCCAATAATTTACATACACACAGAAAGTACAACATTAAAACATGGTTTAAAAGCAGGCTTAGGACATGAGTTTTCAGTCTAAACAGGTGTGTCTTGAGCTGATTCTGGAATGAATTCACAGAATCTGAGAAGCGTAGAGGTGCAGGCAGAGCATTCCACAACCTCGGTGCAAACGCTCGGTCACCACGGGTCTTAAGGCGAGTGCGTGGGACAGACAGATAATGTAACATGTTTGACCTGAGAGTGCGGGCGGGTGAATAAGGGTGAAGTAATTCAGTCACATATGTTGGAGTCTGACCGTGTAGTGCTCTGTAAGAGAGAGTGATAATTTTAAAGTGGATCCTAAATGCTACAGGGAGCCAGTGGAGAGATCGGAGTATGGGGGTGATGTGAGACCGTCGATTTGTCCTAGTGAGTAATCTGGCGGCAGCATTTTGGATTCCCTGCAAACGGTTAAGAGCAGACTGTGATGATGCAGACTGGCTACAATGTCCTCTAGCTTGCCCTTTGACTGTCCCCCTTTTGTTTAACCGTCAGCATTCCCCTTCAAGATGAATTATAATATCTATGGTGATCCTCTGACTTTACATCTAGCTCCATCATCAGGTCAACATTTCAATGTGTCCAATACTTTGGTTTATGACCAAAGACCTGCAACATTAACGACATCCGCAGCTCAGCTGCACGTTGTGTTTAGTGCAAATTATCAAATTGTAGCATGCTAACATTCTAAATGAGGATGGTGATGGTGAATTACAAGCATGTTGTGTTGTCATTGTGAGCATGTTGCCATCACAAACATTAGCATCTCAAAATACTTTGACTGAGCTTTTAGCTTCTTTCCACTGCAGTGGTGCTTCCTGAAATAAGGTCCTATTATCTATCTGGTGCACTATGTTCACTTTCCTCCATTTTATCTGAGTGTTTGGATGCACAGTGTAAAATGTATGCCCTGTATTACCCTAACATGGAACATATTCTTGATTTACGACTCACTATGAAGTAAACGGTTGAGTGTTTATTACATGAGCCCATAATGGCCAGCTCTTGGCATCATTACACTCTGTTTTTACCATGTGGAGCCGTCGTTGCTGATAGTCTCTCCAGCAGGAATAATGGTGTCTTTATCGTAGCAGTGACATTTTTCTCTGGGCACACAATTCCCCTCCTCGTCCTTGTAGCTTCCCTCGGCACAGCCACAGCCGTCCACTGTGGGGAGGCTGGTCTGGCAGGAGTAGTCAGGCTGGCTGAGGGAACGGCAGGTACGACTGCAGCAGGTCATGTTGTACTCATACACTGTTTTTGCTGGACATGTACTGAATTTGCCTAGTGGGGAGATAAGATTGGAGTCGTAGCATGAGAGGGTATCTCCTCTATGTATTTCAATTGTTGCAGATATATCAGATGTTGCAAATGGTGCAATTGCACCTGGTCCTATAAACACAGCAATATTTTCATGAAATCTCATGAAACCCATCTTCTCTTTATCACTGCAGTAATACAAAATGCTCCTTGGTGTTTTATTTACCACAGATGGTCGCCCTCCAGCCACTGATGTGGATTCCTGCCGCTGAACAGGCATAGACATAGGAGGAGACCGCAGCGCACATGCAGTCCTCAGTCTTCTCACAGTTACAGCTGTCATACATGCAGTTCTGTGAGGAGACAGTGAGCATGGACACATCATCAGGGGACAATACTTTTGTTTATTTGCCATTGCAGCTTTGTGTGTGCAGACTTACATCATTGTATATTTTGGGGCTAATGAAAGCGTGGCAAGGAGCAAACACTCCCTTAGGATCCGTTAGTTTGGAACACCAGTACTTGGCATAACTCTCTGAGAGACAGAAACATAGAGAGATGAAGCAGTTACATCACATGCCCCAAAGCAGCATGGTTAACTCTAAAATGTGGTTTGGTATAGTTTCATTCATATTGTATGCTTTCCAATGACATGACAAACATTACATCATGTGAAGTGACAAGACTTTGGAGCTGTACCCTTGCTGGTGCTTTGTTGACAGGGGTGTCCAAAAGGTGTTGTGATGTCGGGGCAGCTGGCTCTAGTTTTCCATGAGTTGGCGAACGCTGCTGCGGTGCCCTCCACCAGCCCACTAATCACCCTGAAGTCATCACTCATGATGTTGTTGAAGTTCCCACACAAACCTGTTGGGTGAGGTGATGCACATTTACACGGATATGAAGGTTTAATCATGTGTGAAGTATTACAAACAGAAACACTTTGTACTGAGTATAACTGCTCGGTTATCATTTGTAAATACTGGAGGCTGAAACACTGAAACATAATGTCGAGCCATACCAGAGATAGTTCCTTTGAATGAAGTGTCAGCTGAGATGAAGACCTGCATCATGGGGGACAGCTGGACCATCACTTGAAGGCCCATCTTGAGTTGCATGGCGATGTAGAAGGATGATGGCCTGAAGACACTCACCTCCGCTGCAGCAGTCAGGAAACATCAAAGCCTTAATAACTTGTTGTCTGAGGTATAAATATTCATCTTAAAATCTTTGTATGTTGGATTGTAGCCATCCTCATGTCCATCTTTTTATTTTGATGTTGGGCTGTTCATTTATGTGCATCTACCGCTTCAATACAAATTCATAACTTTTTAATTTAATTGTTTAATAATTTAATTTTTGAATCTTTTTCTTCTGCACTTGAGTCAATTGATTAGGGCTATAATTAATAACTAGGAAATAAGACTGAGGATCTTTTTTGTTTAAAACATTTTTACTTTACATAGCAAGCTGTGTGTCTTCTGTGATGTCATTTGAAGTAACTCACGCGTAAACAGTGGAAGCTGAGAAAGAATGTGGTTCACGTAGACCTGCCCGCCTGCCTGGATTTTAATAACCTGGCAGTTGGAAAGACACATTTTAGATGATATCAACAGGAGTCCAAACGTATTTCAAAATAACAAAATTGCACAAATTTGATATTGTCATCAAAACTATACTATCACAAACACTCCAAACTAATTTCAATGCAAAATATAAAAGTAGTTTCAAGTTTGACATGGATCTGTTCAACAGTGTATATCTGTATGTGTGTGTGTGTGTGTGTGTGTGTAGGTGTGTAGGTGTGTGTGAGTGTGTGTCTGCAGCTGGAGCTTACCACAGAATTGTTGTACAGACTCAGAGTTACAGCTCTGAGGCAGGTCCTTCTGTCACCAAGACCACACTTGACCAGGTCCCCCAGCACAGTGTACAAGAAGCCAGCACTTTGCTGCAACACACATTAGGACTTTAATAATGACTAAAAGGATGACAGCTGGTGACAGTCAAAAAAATGACAGATAATAAACTCATGTTAACAACCATAAACAGGATCTGTTTCAGGACACACTCAGATGTTGTTGATCATTATATAGTGAATAGTTCCATCATAGAGCACATTCATATCATCATATCATGCAGCATGATGATGTGTCTGTCAGCCTCTATGCCGATGGTTTGTCACTCCCCCCATCCTGCTGATGGTACGAGTCCAGTGTGTATGTGCTTGAATGCTGGTCATGATGTGATCTACCTTAGCCAGGACGTAGGAGCAGTCCCCATGGAAGGTGTAGTCTTTTCCATCGAAGGTGTTGATGTGAGCCCCGCCCTCCACAGAGCACATTCCTGGACAGTTTTCCTCCGCACACTTCCACTGTCCACTCTCACACACACTGTCAGCACACACACACACACACACACACACACACACACACACACACACACACACACACACACACACACACACACACACACATGATGTGATCACATCAATTGTTTGCGGTAGCAGTGTAATCAGTGTTGGAAGTTCTTTTGGTAAAACGTAATACATGACACAAATCTAAGTAACTTGACAGCTGATATTGTAAAAATGACATTTCTACATTGATTGATAATGCTTTCAATAAAACTTGTGAAAATGTATCAAGTGTTTCATTATTTGTGTTTAAACTGGTGTATGCAGCAGGGAGGAAGTCCAATAGGCAGGTTATACTGGATGTAATATATTAAACTTAGATGCGTTCATAATAATAATAATAATTAATAGCATACTCGGTTAACAATCTATTGCATGTTTGAAACATGTTTCATGCAAACCTTAGAGAGGAGGACCATTGGTTAAACTGTCTCACTGAAGGTAAATAATACCTTTTTCAACATTAACAACACATGAGGAGACTTATGTCACAGGAAATATTACAATGAGCCATCATGTACCCATAAATAATCATTATTTCAACCCTGTGTATTCAAGGTGAATACATTTAACTGCAATTTATTTTTAAATAGTTCAACAAATAGAAAGAAAACAAACGGACAACATTTATCTGAGGGTCAGAGGCCACCATTGAACATGATGTTATAAAGCTAAGTTATACATGATGTTATAAAGCTAAGTTATACATGATGTTATAAAGCTATTAATGTGGCACAGAAGCATGTACAACAAGGAGGAATGCACATTAAATGTATCCATGGGGAAATGAGGGACTTTATGTTAAAGTTAACATTCACTGAATTTGTGTAAGTTGGTGAAATTGTGACATATTAATGATTTCAATAAACTCTAAATGTGAGCAGATTGCTATCAATTACTTTAGCTGCACTTTAATGCAAGTGTAAAAAGGGTTGTAGTGTAGTGACATATTTTTTCATTCATTAGCACTTGAAGTTAGCCCATACATGTACAGACTTCTTACCAGGATCTACAGCTTTGAGAGAAGGACTCTCCTGACTTGTACACTGTGTTGTGGTGCAGACAGGGACACTGGTCCACTGCAACACAGCCAGCTTTACTAATGTCATCCAAGACCGTTCCTGAGGAGGAGAGGAGAGATAACAATCAGTGCTGTCATGAGACATGTTCGAGCTTGTGTATTATGCTTGCATATAGCAAATACACTGTAGTGTACAATGTGTGTGGGTACCGGCAGGGCAGTGGCAGCCTTCACTGTAGTGGCTGCGACATGTCTGGCTGGCCTGAGGGGTGGAGCAGCTGTCAGCACATGAACTGCTATACTCCATGTACTCCATGTTGTATGGACATTGCATGTCTATGGAGACAAACACTTTAATGTTGATGTACCAGTAACAAGCAAAAACATTGCAACTGTAATTCAGGGCCAGAACATTCAATGAAGTGCATGTAAGTATCCATATTTAGGTGCTAGCACTCTTACAGCAAAATGTGGCATTCCTCCATTGACTGGGCTGGCCACCTGCGTGCACACACTGCCTGGAGTACTCTGAGATGGTTTTGCAGAGGAAAGGGTCGGTGTCTTTGTCTTTGTAGCACATATCAGCCATACAGGCTTTACTGAAGGATTCCACATCCAGAAGGTTCTGGCAACTACTGAATGAAGCTCTGGAGAAGATCTGGTCACAGAATTGCTGAAAAAAAAATTAGTTAGTAGTTAGTTGACAGCTCTTGAACTATCCGATAAAATGAGGTGAGGAAGTTTCATCACAGTTCAAATGTGCTCCAGAGGTAACAGGTCTTTGTGGAAAATTTAAATGTAAACCTGCAGAAACTTTTAACAAGCATTGAAGGCTTTAGAAATAAAATGGTACATTTGACTTTTTGGTGGTTCTTTTCAACCTTGGCAAAGATAAGAAAGTATGGGGCATCTCATCCTTCACATGTGTCTCTTCATGAGATGTGTAATGTTTGGAGTATTATATGTATAGAGTTACCTTATTACCACAGCCCAGGACTGAGTTAAGCACCGGCTCCTCACAGCTCTCTGTTGGATCGTCCACCTTAAAGGTGTCAGCATAGTCTGCAACCGACTGCTCAGCTCCTACAGTGCAGTCAATCACACAACAATGCTCATTGGGATTATTCAGTAAAAGCATGTAATGAAGTTTCTTCCCCTTTTTGAGATTGTTCAACAATTTCAAGTCAAAAAGGGAATATGTTTAAAATGTGTAGTTAGTTAGTGCAGACAGGTTTATCAGTTAAACAAACATTTACACAGAAGTCAGACACAAAAGTGTCTGTAAGTCCCTAATGCATGCAATTTCTGTGATTTACAAATAAATTAATAAATGATGTTAATAAATTGATTACATTTTCATTTTCATATCAAAGTATTCATTCTATGGATCAGTGTAAAAAAAGAAAATCCTAAAATCCACTTTAGTTCTTGAAATATCCAAAGAAACACAGGACGTTTTTGGGCCACTTCCCTCAGATGCTCATTGGCTAATATTAAGGAGTACAAACTGAAAGGGATCTTAAGGAGTACACTTACCGTCTTTCATCAAATCATTGGTTATGCCGTCAAAGTTTCCACAGAGTCCGCATGTCTGGTTCTGGTATTTTTTATCTATTTCAATCTGTGAACACACCCAAACAAACAGTAGTTAGTGGTTAGTTAGTGAACCATGTATCAAATCAGGTTGTTAAGACGTCAACATGTTATTAATGACAATTCAACAGATGTTATTATTTCTATGTAATCCATTTTGGAATTTAAGTAGGTCACACTCATGTGCCTTGTGAGCTCTGCAATGGACCGCCATGTTTGGTTTGGATTGTTATCAGTGAAGCTTTGCTTTTGCAGCTGGTACATGACCTTAGGTTTACTTAAAGAAGCTACATCTACATTGCGGTTTTCACGTTTTGCTTATTTTTATAGCTTGCATATCGGTCACATCCCACAAACTCTCCCAGTGACTCACTGCTGCTATGCAGTCATACCTTGACCAAACTTTGAGGTGAGGCTTCTCCCAATTACCTGAGCCATGGAGGCTACTTTGTTGTAGTGCAGTTTGTCTACGAGGTTTGAACTCAGGCTGGGGCCAAGGAAGAAGAAGTGATGTTAATGGCGAATACCATTCATTAAATGTTTCCTCTTGAACTGTGATTTGTAGAAACATTTCTTTAAACCCTGGAAGTCCAGCTTCTTTGACATAAATTGCCATAATTCTTGAGGACACTAAATTCAGATAACATGCACTCCAGCAACATGGTAGTCATGGCTCCCATATGTCATTCATTTCATCCATCACACAGAGTGCAATAAAGTGCTGCAGTACAGATAACACAAGGCCCTAATGCATTGAAAACAAATGTATTGATTTAATTGCTCAAAGAGCAGACCCTGAGGAGTCGATAACTGCACAATAAATGGATCATCTTAACTCCATATTTACTGTACAGAGGTAGGTATCATTATATCTGACTCTTCTTTTAAATAGAGTGGATTGCTGCTCACCGCTAACTGTATTGCTTACTTTTATTAATGTGTTCTCTTGGTTGTTGAACAAAGTGACTGTGGCTACTAGTTTGATGAGCTCACTGGCTGTTTTCATGTCACCCAAGTGCAACACTATGGCTCTTGCTTTTAATAGCTTTTGGACAACGATGGAGTTCTGCGACAGAGAGGGATCAGTGATAAATGAAATGACGAGATAACATCAGCCTTATCCTTTAAACTTTAAAATGGTTGAGGGCAAAGTGTGTGTTTGTTTGCATGTCATGTATGCACACATAACAAGCATGTTCAGAAACAGGTAGAGTCAGATCCTGCTGAGCTGTTTGAGGCAGGCTCACAATGTGTCCTTTTGTCAGTGTGTTTCAAACTCCATGACCATACAGCTGAGCACAAACAGGACAGACGTGTGTACATATGAGAGGGTGTGCTACATACATCCAGGGAGTCATCCAGGTTCCACATAACTTTTATTCCCTGCTTAGCTTCAACAGTGATACCAGATGTGGTTCCCATCACAGTCACCCCAAATTTGACATGTGGCAGAGACACCCTGCAGCAAACACAGAGAGTCAGTGTGAACATAGGACAGAGAGAAACAGCTGACACAGGAAGTCATATTCTAATGAGACAAAGTAATAACTGTATGTATGTGAAAGTCAAAGAGTCATAAGGCTCATTTGAAGGAATTGAAGATGTCAGTGGCCTATTGCTGCAATCGTCTCAGACAGGCCCAGCCCCCCCAGAGGGATACAGGAGGTCAGAATACAAACATCTTTACAATCTGAATAACTTCCTCTTCCTGCTCTTTTCTGTTGCTGGCAGCATTGTGTTGATTTTTAAAGCTTTGTTCTGATATGTCTGCCTTTAAGGTGTTGATGATCATCAGTAAATGTGAAACAAAACAAACAGCAAACAGCAGTTTGTGATTTAACCCTTTAACATACACCAACTCATTACATCCTTCAAGGTGGGAGTGTGCTTTACTACCATCCACACAGCCGGTGTTTGCACTTTACTTTAACACCGAGTTCAAGTTTGAGAACTGCTGTCTGACCTTCTGTCTTTTTTTATGCTGCCACTGGAAGGCACTGAAACTGTACATTTTCAATCCTTTGAGTGAGATTACATTTTTAGACATCCATGTGACTTAGAGATCCTACTCTTGATGTAAAGAAGCATATTGATAAAATGATTTATACATTAAAATACAACACTGACAACTTAAATACTTTAAAAAGAGACAAAACTGTAATAATTCCTGTAATAACTATAATATTGTCGTATGCCACAGCCTATTGTAACTCATAGTTTATTGATTTATTTCTATTGATTATTGATTACTGATTACAAATTATTAAATATCAGCATCACATAGAAACACTAATATGTAGATCTATTTTCCGTTATGAAATGACGAAATTGTACTCTTTCTAATGTAAGAAAGACAAACAGTATCTATTCATCTGTTTGACTCAGCACCTGGACAGACAATATGTGCCGATGTTTTACACAGTCATTGTATTCAACTGCAGAAGCATCCTTCAGGCTACGAGTACACACAGCTGGGAATCACTGATCTAAATAATGTAACTTCCATGTAAAACAACTCAGGTGATAATCACTTCAGTAAACAGAATCAACCAATAGGATTATAAAGATGATACAAGATTGACAAAGACTGAAGCTGTTCATTAGAATGGATAATATTAATTCAAGACTTTAAAAAAGTAACTGGTGCTTTTTATTTGGGATTGGGATCATTTTTCTACAAGCAAAACGCTTCGTCACCAGAATTATCTGAATGATAAAAATAAATCTCTACATAGTGACTTTTACTAAAGCTGTATCTACGAGTTGGTCAAAGGAACTTTATCTTTGATCTTTTTCTGCTTGGGAAAAGATTCAAGACTCTAAAACACAGTGGAAAGCCTTTAAAGACAACGAAGAGATAATTGGTTGTAAACAGGTGGAAGAATCTTAACTCACGGCCCACTTATTAGCTTTTTTCAAAGCTTTTAATCGTATCTCACAATCATCCTCAGCGAATGGAACCTCCATCCTCTGAAGGCAGACAGAGATGTGGTTGAACGCTAACACTTTATTTGTAAAAAACATCTTTCAACTCATTAATACTGCTCAATGTACTGAATGTAAATATCTGATTAGAGAAAAATTCTCAACATGTAAAACAGAGTCTCGGGGTGTAACATGGAACACAGAGTCTCAGGGATGCATGACTGAACTAGACTGAACTTACGTCTTTTCATCGACGATCACTGAGCTCTTGGAGAGCTCCACCACTGTACCCTCAAACACCATGATGATGTTGCTGATTGTGGTGACCTGGTTGACTGTCTTACGCCTCATCTGGATGTTGAAATCTTCATGGCTGTTTTTACACTGGTAGGCCATGACATGGTTACAACTGGAGGCCAGCTGGAAGAAATCTCCATCAAAGGTCTTCCAGTGATTTTGTCCCCAAGTCGTGCACACTTGGCCGATATGATTTTCATCAGCTACAACAAAAATATGAACATATTAAAACATCTTTTTAACTGACGTGAAGAGTTGAGCAAAAATCTAGTTTGGGAATTTGCACAGTTACCTGAACTCAGGCTCAGTGTCTGTAGAGAAGGAATGATGATTACTGTAGTAAAGAGAAGAAATAATCCATTGTTAATTTAGAAACGATTACTTCATATATCAGATGTTCTGTATCAGCTTGTTCTGACACTACAACAGGGGCATGTCCAGGACACCCCTGAAATCGGATTGGCCGACCCGTTACTCTTGATAAGCCATCTGCCCGGTCAGAGGCGGTACCTTGGTTTGAACCGTTAGACATTATTTTAATAATACTTTTGTTGGCACTTTGTACTGTGACTGTATATTTGATTTTTGTCTAAGATGGTTGTGATTAATAAATATATCTTGGGCTGTGTTGGAAAAGGCAGCTAGTACCCTAACCCAATTGTGTCAATACAATATTTGGTCTATTTAACATTTCAATTTAAATATGGAATGTACAGGAATGTAATAAACGGTAAGATACTGTAATGTTAGTTATGAAAGTCAGTATGAGTCATGGAGACAAATTGTTAAGTTAATGATATTCATACCGCATGAGTCAGTGCCTCACTTAGGCCACCCTAGTCAACAAAGTATTAACGCTACTGTGAGTGGCTTAATCAAACAAAGACGCCATAAACAATGTAATCAAATGCACTATTGTAGACTTATAATAACAATTAGTATTATATTGTTATTATTATTGTTATAAGAAGAATCTTTGGAGTTTCCTATTATAATTTGCAGACAAATATAAAGGTAGAAGTTATCAAAACAAGATGTAAAATATCTCAATTCAAATACATTTCTTTCCTGAATTCTGAAATTCTGCGAACACCAACCAATCATGCTGTATCCAATAAGTGTGAAGCTGTAAGCATTCTTCAGGTTATCACTCACCAGTCTCAGTGAGTGAGCCAACCAGCAGGGTCAGGTAGATGAGCCATGACGTGGATTGAAGTCCCGTGGTCCCCATGTTTGGTTCTGAGGACTGACCGATGAGAGTGCTCACCTGGAAGACAAATCCCTTTTTATAACCAGTAAAGGAGAGAGAGAGAGAGAGAGAGAGAGAGAGAGAGAGAGAGAGAGAGAGAGAGACAGAGAGAGACAGAGAGAGAGAGAGAGAGAGAGAGAGAGAGAAAGAAGAGAGAGAGAGAGACAGAGAGAGAGAGAGAGAAAGAGAGACAGAGAGAAAGAAGAGAGAGAGAGAGAGAGAGAAACCATGTGCACACACATGGTTAAAATGTTTTACTGGTATTTTTGTTTGCTCAGCAAATATCACGTCATCACTTCCATCACTGCGCCGAGTAGCTTGTTCACCCAACATGGTAAATGGACCTACTTGTACTTGTATTGTGCCTTTCTAGTGTTCTGACCACTCAAATTTAGGGTTAAGTGTCTTACCAAGGACACACTATCGAAGCGCTAATCTTTTAACTGAAGGACAACCCGCTCTACCTCTGAGCCACAGCCATCCCATCATGATGGGTTAAATGGCTTGATAAGATGGAGCCTTTCTAAAGTCTCGTAGTTGTTTGTTTTACGGAGAACTACTTTTGATAAATTGTCTCGATTGTGCCAATTTGGATCCCCCCCCTCCTCTAGTCCATGTCGATGTGTCCTTGGGCAAGACACTTAACCCTATATTAATCTCGAAGGCTGTGCTATCAGTGTATGAACGTGTGTGAAGGGGTCAATGACATGTAGACTAAAAGGACGCTATACAAATGCAAGTCCAGTTACCATTTATCATGAGACACCTAATATGTGGACACAGCTGATTTCCGATTTGGTGCATCAGATCACGAAAGTCACATTCAAAAGACAAGTGGAACCAAGGACTCTGTATCTGTTATAAACATCTTTATGCCGAAACAGAGTATATCAGTAGAAGAAGAAACACACTGTGACTGTTGGGTTTAAAGGTTGTTCCACATTTTAGCTATACCTACGAAAAATGATGCGCTGTAACCCACCAAATCATTTTGTATGTTATCAACATAATCACAAACAAGGAAGTATAAAGACAGCAAAAGCCCACACCGGACGAGCAGGAGGGGCGGTACAAACACCAATTTGTGACCCAGGAGATCTCTGTTCGTTGTTAACCGATAAGTCAACTTTGATTTATTTGTCACGTAGTAACTCAAACAACAATCCTTTCTTAAACCAAACAAAGTAGTTGTGTGGCCGAAACATAACTAAAAAAAACAAATAAAAAGTTTATTTTGAAAAGACTGTGATGATCAGAAACTGGCATTTGTTGCTTGCATTCTTAAGAAAATGCACGAAAAATGAGAAGTAACATTCGTTAGATATCATACGAACCGTATGAGGACACGTTGATGGATCTGTCAACAGGTAACAAAACGTACTTGGTTAGGGTTAGGGAGAGATCAGGGGCATGGTTAAAAGAAGTAGTAGTAGTAGCACATGGGATGTTAATTGCATTCTCCTGTGCCATCAGGGTAGCTGTTAAATTGCATACTTCCGTCAGTGTTTCATCCCTCCCAAAATCAGACAGGGTTCCACACCTGAATAAGTTGTGTGTCCACAGATATCTTGGGTTGGAAAAGGGGCTTTTGTGTCCAGGGGCCCATAAAAGAGAATCTGTGCATGTAGCCATGCAAGGAGGACTATAAAGAGACACTATTTCCTCCAATCACAAAGTTCACTCTGTTGTGCTTTAAATTACTATTGCACATCAACATCTACATCATAAAATAGCAATTAATAAAGATGACTTATAGCTACCAAGCAGAAACTGAATCTTTAATCAATGGCTTATTCAGTGCGTAAGAAGTCTCAATATGCGGCGGTCCGCACCCATCACTTAGTCAGCTGTGGGAATTGAACACAATATGCCACATTGTTCAGATGTAAACATAGCGTGTGTCGCTCTAAGGAGTTATGAGGGATTGTTTGGTTTGTGTTGATGTGTCGCAGGCCTGCGTAAATAATCCACAGTGATTCAGCTCCCTCAGTCCAGGATGTGCATCCTGTGGTGCATCTTTGATAAAACCTCTGCTCTGTTTTGCTAACTGGAGTGTTTGTGTTGTGTCAATAAAGACTTATGAGAACACAGAAAATGTCGTGCCTTGCAATATATTGCAAAATAACTCAGATTCCTACTTAGAAGTTGAATTCTTCCATAAGTATAGCAAGTATTAGTCTAGATGGGTCATTTTTGATACATTTTACATTAATTACGATTATGTTTATAATCTTTTGCATCCCTTAAATTTAAAATGTGCTGGTATCGTTTGTACTGCCATACACATATTCTTTCAGTTAAATCTTTTTACCAAAATCAGTCAACATCATATTCAGTTTCATTGTCTATTTACATAATGCCACTGTTGTATTAATGTATTAATATCTGTATACTAAATGCTAGGGGGATTTTTCCCCCTTCACAGTAAGGGAAGGGGGAACATTTTTTTTTTACATTTTTTTAACCTAGATCAGTTCTGATCATAACCACCAAATATTCATTTATTTTATATATATATATATATATATATATATTGTTCTGCCTCCACATTTCTGTGTAGTAGAATGTCATTGCATTTTCATGCTCGTATTTGTCCCTCCTCTCTTGCTGTAATTAGTGCCTCGTTGTTTTTAGATTCTAATTAACCCCAAATTGCTACCGTAGCTTTTCCTGCAGTGTGTGAATGTTGTCTGAACGTTAGATAGTCCTGATGGTCAGGATATATATATATATATATATATATATACGTATATATATATACTGTATGTGTATGCGTGTGTGTGTGTGTTTGACGCATAGTCTCTTGTCAATATTCATATATATTTGAGACCAATAGATGGATGGAGGGGAAAATACCTGTATAGATAACTATCCACCATGATATAGATGGAAAGATAGTTAGATCTACAGTCTACTTACAGTGTAGTATATATACTTGTTTAAGTAATTGTGTTCAAAGCAAGTGTTACAATTCTGTCAGTAACAATTATCCCAACCAATAGGGTACGTTGTAGCATTTCACTTCCGCCACTATCAATGCAATTGTACAAGAATGGTAGGTCCTAGAAGCAAGTCTTCATTTGTGGAATGACTACTCATATAGTCATGCAATCCCACATGTGTGATTCCTAATACACACAGGCGTGCCTGTGTACGTACGTCTGTGTGCACTAAGGAGGGTAGAAAGAGATACGGAGGACTTAAAGTGTCGTGTGTGTGTGTTGTGTGTGATTAGTACAACTCAGCCATGCGGGCGCTTGCACCTTACACACAAATGTGCACGTGTACGTGGATCTGTGTATGCATCCTGCCACAGCACGTGCCATTTGTTTTATTTTCCATGACATCAACCCATTACATGAGGAATAGTAATACTAATAGTAATAAGTAATCCCATATTATTCATTATCAATTAACATTAAAGGTGAAGTCTGTGATTTGAATCCAATAGGCCAACACCTTTTGTCAATTTCAGGGAATATTTCTTATCCTTAATTTGAATGATTATAATAATAATAATGAATCATCGGAGTAAATTAGTTATTTTTTTGATCAAATCAACTTTCTTTAATGAATATAACTCGTCAGTACTGCCTCCTTTTGTGTGCAGCAAGCAGGAGAGCAACCCGTTTTATGACGCAGTGAAAGTGTTTCTTCTGGAAGGTATGATATGGATTAAAACTGAATGCTTTGTTAAATAAAATCATGTGAATTTAGAAAATTATTCCAGCTATCATTTTCAGTAAATGTTGACTTTTAGACTTTACAACTCTCTGGAGTTATTGAAAATGTTTGGATCACACAAGTTGGAAACACGACTGGAATCTAATTCTAAAAATATAATACTATTCACTGGCGAGCCTGTTTGTAACAGGTACCGACAACTTTACTTTGAGTTGCCCTGCTGACGGCCCGCCAGATACCTTACATTTTCAATAAGCCTGCCTGTAAGCCCTGCACACTATGAAACACGAGAGCAATGTATATTAATGATCGTGGTTCTCCACTGCAGAATGAATATAGGGGAAACACTTATTAGTTCAAGTCACTTTAGTTTTATTTGTTTGTATAGTATATGTAAATCACAAATTTTCCTTAGAGGGCTTTACAATCTGTGCAACATACGACATCCTCTGTCCTTGGGCCATTGCATCGATAAGTAAGAAGTTTCCCCAAAAAAACCTGTAACGGGGAAAAAAAGTAAGAAACCTCCGGGAGAGCAACAGAGGAGCGATCCCTCTCCCAGGATGAACAGTGCAATAGATGTCATGAAGAGAATTCAATTAATGAAAGCAGTGGATAATCTAGCATGATAATGATAATAAAAGCAGTGATAGAAATGTGACTAATAATAACAATCATAATAGTAGCAGAGGGTGTCAGGCAGGGCCACAGCAGCAGGCAGGACCAGGGTCCATGTGTAACCACTTTCCATCAGTGGTGGGCTGTCAAGGCCAGCAAAGCCTAAACAGAATCACAAAATTATAGCTATTTTATAATTTAATAATTTTTCACAAATACACTACATGTATTATAATTTGTTTTCCCATTATCTTATGTTGTCATTGCACAGCTACTGTCTTCCTCAGTTGCTCTGCTTCCAGTGCAGCTTGTTTTAAGTAGAGCTTTTATCCAATCAGATTTCACCTCTGTGTCTCTAGGTAAGAACAGAGGCCTGCAGACTCACAAGTGAATCCATGTGCAGTTTAAGTGAATGGGGACGATATTGTTGATTGTCATTGTGTTCAACCAATCAGATCTTTAGTTTGACATGTTGGGCGTATTCTTTGACATGTCAGAGCTACCGAGATAGTCTACAAGTACGTCAGCATTAACGTGCAGCTCAGCATTAACGTGCGGCATGATTGGTCAGTGGGCTGGCGTGACTGTTTTGACACTGAAGCAGCTAGCAGAACTTAGTATTAGTAGTAAGAGCTCAAGTTGAAATATATGTAAGAAGTTATGACATTGACATGACATTTTTAGCAT